TCAGCATCATCATCATGATCATCATCATCATCATCATCATCATCATCATCATCATCATCATCATCATCATCATCATGATCATCAGCATCATCATCCTCCGCCTCCTCCGCGTCAGCATCAGCATCATCATTATCAGCATCATCATCATCATCATCAGCATCAGCATCAGCATCAGCATCATCATCATCATCATCATCATCAGCAGCATCATCATAATCGTCATCATCAGCATCATCATCATCATCATCAGCATCACCATCATCATCAGCATCATCATCATCAGCATCATCATCATGATCATCATCATCATGATCATCATCATCATCACCATCATCATGATCAGCATCAGCATCATCATCAGCATCATCACCGTCATCATCATCGTCATCTTAATCAACATCAGCAGCAGCCTCATCATCAGCATTAGCATCATCAGCATCATCAGCATCGTCGTCAGCATCGTCTTCATCATCATCATCAACAGCAGCAGCAACAGCATCATCATAACCATCATCATCATCATCAGACTCAGCATCATCATCATAAGCATCAGCATCATCGGCATCATCATCAGCATCATCATCCGCACCACCATCGTCATCAAAAGTAACACCAGCAGCATCATCATCATCATCATCATCAGCAGCATCAGCATCATCATCAGCATCATCATCATCCTGCTCATGGCTCCTGCTCCTCGTGCCTGTTCTCATCCTCCTCCTCTTCCTCCTCTTCCTCCTCCTCCTTCTCCTCCTCCTCCCCTTCGCTCAACCCTCTTCTGCCTCCTCCTCCTCCTCCTCCTCCTCCTCCTCCTCCTCCTCCTCCCTTCGCTCAACCCTCTTCTTCCTCCTCCTCCTTCTCATCATCATCCTCCTCTGCCCTCTTCCACCTGCCCTCCTCCCTCTTCCCTCTCCCCTACTTCATCCTCCTCCTCTTCCTCCTCCTGATCCTCCTCCGCCTCCCCTCTGGTTTCGCCATCCCTTTCTCCTCCTCCTCCTCCTCCTCCTCTTCCTCCTCCTCATCCTGCTCCTCCTCCTGCTCCTCCTCCTCCTTGTCTTCCTCGTAGAGTCTCCCCGTCCTCCACTGAGGAAGGGATCGGACAACAAAGAATCACAGTCCAAACACGTGGGGGGCTGGCTTGAACGATGGGACGTGCCCGTGCAACCGCTCCTCAGGCCGCTTCGTGCCAACCGTGCCTTCTCTATGTATGTTTTTGTCTCTCTCTCTCTCTCTCTCTCTCGCATTCTCTCTCTCTCTATATGTATGTGTATGTCTCGTCATGTCTCTCGATCTCTCTCTCTCTCTCTCGCTCTCTCTCTCTCTCTCTCTTTGTCTCTATCTCTCTCTCTCTCTCTTCCTCTCTACCCCCAGGGGGTCAGGGTCGCTCGATGCTGACGGCTGTGCCAGCGCAAGGGAAGGAATACGTGCGGCTGGAATGAGGTCGCCATGGCATGGCGGTGATGTACCCACGAGGTTGCTAGGCGATAGTGGTAGGGTTGCTAAAGTGAGAAGTGGGTGGCGCAGCTTAGCGATGGGGGTACGAAGGTGTTGGAAGTATATCATGCTACTTCCAAAAATCGATGGGGAGACTATAATGCAGCAGCGTCGCAGTCAAGGGAAATCTTTCAGAAACAAGCACGACTCAGCAGCCAAGTGACAACTACGATGTGAAGCAGAATATCACGTGCTTCCGATGCGTGCACGGGTAAGTTGGATATTAGCTGGCGATTGGCTGTAGTATATCCTGGCATCCTTTCCAAGGCACGCTCGCATAGTAGCAAGTATCAGGTGTGCACGGCTTGTTCGGGTGGCGTTTCCCCTCAGCCCCCTCACTGCACATAGATCCTCAAGAGCTGTCCGGGCAGAGCGGAAACGTGAAAACGCAGCAGGCCCCCGGGTGGCCAAGTAAAGAAAGGCAGCGGGCGCGTGGGAAGATACGCGCAGGCACGCTGACCGTGGACCCCCATGGGGACCCCCCCCGGCATCTTCGGTGACCCCAGGGCCGAGCCGCCGAAGCCGCCGGTTAGCATCTGCGCGTCGAAGGACTCAAACGTCTCGAACATCTCCAGGAGCAAGCGCTTGTAGGCGTCCTTGCGCTCGCTGCCCTGGAAGAGCTTGTCACAGAGCTCGGCCACGTCCATCTTCGGAGCGCCCTCCGCGACGCCTGCAACCATCCCAGAGCTCGCCTCCCACACCGCAAGCTTGTCCCAACGCCAGAAACGAGCGGTGGTGCAGCCGTGCAGGTCCGTCTCCACCGTCCGAAACCGCTGGCCGCTGGGGAGCCCAATCTGGCGGATGGAGTCCTTGTTGATCTCAACCTCCTTCTCGGGGATGGACAGAGTGACGCGGCTCTGCTGGACCTTGCAGCGTAGCGGATAGGCCTTGGTAGAGCCCGTCTGCTGGTTGGGCGCGTCAGGGATGTACATTGGCAGAAGGTCGCCGTCCACGCACTTCTGCAGATTCACCTGCACGCCGCACATTAGTTCAAACATGATGCCATTGTGGTGATCAATTTGTGTGTGCGGGTGTGCACATGTGTGTGCATGTGTGCCGATATGGATGGCCAAAGTCTCGTATGTATGCATGTCATGTCGGACGCTTCATGATGTTACAATTGTCGCGCAAGTCTGTGGGATAGCCTGCAGGCCGCCTTCCAACCACCGCTCGATCTGCTGCTGCACGGAGACCCCGCTGACCGTGGTGACGAGCCCTGGAAGGAAGTTCCTCGTCGACATGCGGCCCGAAGAGTCCTCCTCGTGCGTCTCGATCAGCAGCATGTCCTTGAAGCACAGCTTGAAAAATACCATGTCGAGCACTCGGACAAGTTGCCCGTGCTCGTCGACCTCGAGCCAGCAGCGCCCCGCCTCCAGCTCCGAGAACAAGTCAGAGACACTACGGTAGCCGCCCTGCCCGAACGCGGAGGCGTCGGCGCTGTGCTTGCCGAGCAGCGTCTGCAGCTCGCCCTCGCTGCGGACGTCGATGCGTCGCTGCAGCCGCATCCGGCGCATCTCCTCCACCAGAAGCTTCACCTGCCCATTGGACACAGTCAGCTGATCCTGGAGAGCATCGTTCTGGGATTCAACCTCTACGAGTTTCTTCTTCTGCAGCCCCATCAGCGCCGACGAGCCCATGTTGAGCCCTTCTCCCTGGGCGCGGATCAGCTTCCAGAGAAAATAATCGTTGTCGAGGATGGCTTCGACAGGGTTCACCTTGATGCAAATCTTTCCCAGGGTCTCCTCGGGGGTCAGGAGTCCCAGCCCCAGGCCGTGGTGCCAAAATCGGACCCCGCTGCTGACGAAAAGGAGGCTCCGAGAGCCTGGGACGGGGCCTTCCGAAAATACAGCCCTGGCACGGGCAGCCCCTACCGAGTCACCTGGTCGGGCGTCCGCCGCCGCCAGCCGGGCGTCGTCGTCGCAGCAGCCGCATTTGCAGCCGCAATCGCAGCCGCCGTCGCCGTCGTTCGTCGCCGGCGTCGCCGTCGGAGACTCCGCGCTTCGCACCGCGCGAGGCGCGGGCATCTTCGCGCCAGGCCCCGGCCGTCGGGCGCGGCTATCTTCGCGCCCCTCCTGGTGACCGAGCAGAGTGGGACCCCTTTCCCGATGAGGAGGAGGAGGAGGAGGAGGAGCAGGGGGAGGAGGAGGAGACGGAGGAGGAGGAGGAGGAGGAGGCGGAGGAGTCTCCCTGTGCGCCATCGGATGCCCCTTGGCGTCGCGCACGTCTACGATGCGGGCGTCGTTGTGCTCGATGTTGTCGTCCAAGAACAGCTGTCGTGTGGGCCTGCGGCCGCCGATGAGGGTCACGAGCTTGCCCGCGCGCGCCTGCTCTGAGGATGATGCGGCTAGTGCCGATATCAACTACACAAAAGTCGAGGTGACTGATGGGGAGAACGAAGGACGAGGAGGAGAATGTCTGGCGCGTGGTGGAGAAGAAGAAAGAAGAACATGTTCAGCGTATTGGCGAAGCCCCCGGTGACCACTCCGCTCCATCCACCACAAGGATAGTGCGCGGCCAGGCAAAAAGGCCCCGAAGGCCCCGCGGACTGGCGCAACAGCGGCGTGCATCGCTGCAGGCGAGGGGGGAGCATGATGCGGGAAGCAGGCGGGGAGAGAGGGAGGGAGGAGCGAGGAGCGAGAGAAGGAGCGAGTCGCCAAGATGCCCCAAGGACGCGGCTCGGGTCGACAGAAAGGGCTGGTCTCGAGAGGTAGGGTCGCCAAAATGCCCCCAAAAGGCATGGCGCGGGCCAATACACGACGCGCCACCTCACTCGCGCCGCGTCTGGCCAAAGCAAAGCCGGCAAGGGTCGCGAGCTCGCCCGATCTCGCCTGCTCTTTGTTTCCCTTTCGAAGACGGCGACGACGACGACGACACTCTCGCCTGCTCTTTGTTGAACGTCCACCACGCCCAGTCGTCCTTAATCGCGGTCGTCCTGAGCAGCCAGGCTCGGCCAACCCCCCTCTGGCAACGGCATGTGCTGCTGACGCGTCCCATCCTGCCTCGACCTCGATCGACCCCCCTCGTACCGCCTCCGGCCACGGCTCGAGCCAAACAGCGCTTTCCGTGCTCGCGTTGTTTTCGTTGTCCCACGTTCTGTCTTCGTTCCGACTTCTTTGTGGCAGAACAAACTCAAAACGAAAAAGGTCCACGAGATCGCCGAAACACCGTCTGGCTCGAACCTTGCCCCCGGCCTTCCCCTTTCCTACGGTCGGAATATTTTGCTTACCGTGCCACGACGGCGGCCCGGGCAACACGCGATGCTATGCGAGCGGCTAGCACGTCGCTCTGCTCCGAGGTGCAGGAAGCTGGGAAAAGTTTGGGACGCTGAGGCCTGGGAGGGGGCCAGGAAGTGGATAGCGTGTCGCGCCGCAGCGCCGGGGGAAAGAACCGACGGAACCACACGCTATCCAAAAGCTCCCAGCCGTTCTGGGACGTCGCGCAGCAGCTCTGATGACAGCTCGCGGAGCTCCACTTCCAAGACTTGACTGCATGCTGGCATTCTCCCCGTGCTATCGAAACTAGCCTTCTGGGAGGCCGCAGATGGGCGACGCAGCCGTGACCCGGTCCAGAATGACTACGGACCCGGACTTGCCATCGCTCGGATGTCCATTCCCGTGCACGTTTCGTCTTCGCGCGTGGTTGTTGCTCGATGGTCTCGGATGTTCCTCGATGACCCCCGCCGAGAAACAGTACACGCGTCCGAGCGAGGCCAAGCGCAGGGTCTATGCTTCATAGCTCGGCGCCCGACTGCGGCGTGGGCGACGTGGACTGGCGCTTCGCCTTCCCTCGTCGCCCCTGCCTCTGCAAGCCAGGCCCGCTGCGCACAGCCCCCCGACGCTGCCGCGGCGGCGCTCCTCTGATGGTGCAGCTGCTTGGCCATCCACTTCTGCAGGCCGGAGGTGCCGTCGGCGGTCCTGGCCTTCAGCACCTCCGCGCCAGGGGCAAGCCAATGGGAGGGGAGGCGGGGGAGAAGGCTGGGAGAGGAGTGGGGGGGAGGGAAGAAGCGGAGGGAGGGAGGAAGGGAGTGCAGGACGTGAATAGAGGGAGGGAAGGAGGGAGTGGAACAAGTGGAGGGAGGAAGGGAGGGATGTGAGGAGAGGCGGAAAGGATACGGAGAATCAAGCTTTTGGGATGCGCTTCTTGGCGTTTCGTTTTGCCTCCAGCGGCCTCTGGAGGCCCCTTGGACAGGGACCTCTGGCCTCTGGATACCTCCAGAGGTCCTGGGAGACGTCAGAGGAGATACCCTTACCTCGTTGTCGCCTTCTGGGGCCAGCAGAAGGAGGCCCTCGTCGCCACGGCAGGATTCCGCTGAATTCGCCTTGGAGTTCTGGTCAAGGCGCCAATCAAGAGAGGTCCGAGGAACAGCGGTATCGGCGACTTCTGTTCCCAACAGAGGACGCGGCAGGCTACGGTGGCAAGGCAAACGCGGCGACCGACAGTATCCCCTGCAACTCTTTGTCCTCGAGCCCAAACGGCTCGAGCCCAGGCTACTACGGATGGACGTACTGCGCCGCTCCTCCTCCTCCTCCTCCTCCGCCTCCTCCTCCTCCGCCTCCTCCTCCTCCTCCTCCTCATCCTCATCATCAGCATCAGCATCAGCATCAGCATCAGCATCAGCATCAGCATCAGCAGCAGCAGCAGCAGCAGCATCATCATCATCATCATCATCATCATCATCATCATCATCATCATCATCATCATCATCATCATCATCGTCATCGTCATCGTCATCGTCATCGTCATCACGCATCAGCATCAGCATCAGCATCAGCTCATCATCATCATCATCATCATCATCATCATCATATCATCATCATCATCATCATCATCATCATCATCATCATCATCATCATCATCATCATCATCATCATCATCATCATCATCATCCGCCTCCTCCTCCTCCTCCTCGCCTCCTCCTCTTCCTGCTCCTCCTGCCCCTCCTACCCCTCTACCTCCCGACTCGAAGTCCCAAGCCGCCAAGAAACGGGCACAGCTGGTGGAAGCAGCGCCCCCCGCCGGGTGCCCAGAGGTCTTCCAGTGTCCCCGCTGGGGCCTCCGACATCGCTCGGACGACTCCCGGGGTCCCTCAAGGGCCCTTAAGGCCCCTCCGAGGACCCCCCCCTGACGTCCCCCGAGGCCACCGCAGGGGCCTCCGTGGCGCCCGCGGGCTGTGCCTGCGGCCTCTGGTGGACCGCCGCCCCTCCCCCCTTCAACCCAAACCGAAATCCAGCCCAAGCCCAACCCAAACCGAACCCAAGCCCAACCCCAACCCAGCCCCAAACCAAGCCCAACCAACCCTGGCCGGGCCCGCGGCCTTCTGGATGTACTCCCGCCCGTTGCGCGTGTCCGCCTTGGCCGGCGGGCGCTGCCGAACCCGGGCTGGAAAGGCGCGCGAGCAGGGGAGGATAAGCAGCGGCAGGAGCAGGAGCAGAAGCAGCAGCAGCACCACCACCACCACCACCACCAGCACCACCAGCAGCAGGAGCAGCAGCAGGAGCAGCAGCAGGCGCAGCAGCAGGCGGAGCAGGAGCAGCAGCAGGCGCAGCAGCAGGCGCAGCAGCAGGCGCAGCTGCAGCAGGAGCAGCAGCAGGAGCAGGAGCGAGCAGGAGCAGGAGCAGCAGCGGGCGCGAGCGGAAGCAGGAGCACCAGGAAAGCCAGGAGCAGCAGGAAGACGACGACGACGACCACGACGACAACAACGACAACGACGACGACGACGACGACGACGACGACACAGACGACGACGACGACACAGACGACACAGACGAGACAGACGACGCAGACGAGACGACGACGACGACGACGACGACGACGACGACGACGACGACGACGACGACGACGACGACGACGTACACGTATTTCGCGTACGCGTGATCCCCCTCTGGTGGGTCCAGCCACCGCGAGCCGATGAGCATCCAAGGCGGCGCGGCATATACGGCAACGCCAGCGAGTGCTGATGTCCTTGGGGGGGGGACCTCATATCACGCAACTCCTGGTCTCCGACCAGCGAGCGGGAGGCCAAGGGAGCGCAGGGGCGGACAGAGCGGGCGAAATGGGGAGGACACAGAAAGCCCGAACACTACGCAGGACGCATCTGCATGCGCAAGTGCACACGGGCACGGGCGACCCGTTGGGGCGAACGCAGGCCTCGCAGCTTGCAGCGATGCGACAAGACTGGCAACTGTCACAAACCAAGATGCGGCACTATAAGACCCGCTTCCGCTTCCACCACGGGGAACCCAAGATCCAAGGAAGCATCCGAGAAGGTAAAACCAAACGCGGGCCCGCCGTCCAAAGACCGTGGTGGAAGAAAAACACGCACCTCTGCCTCAAAGCACGGGGCTCACTCCCAGCGGAACGCGGCCCAGCCGCTCGGCGAGGGAGATAGCAATCGCCTCGTCGCGACCACCCCGTGAGGTCCATGCAGAGGCTGGCGATCACGAGCTTGCAACCAACGCCCTCGAGGGCGTGGCCGATCTCAGCGATGGTATCACCAACGTCGACAACCGCGTGCTCGACGCAGTAGTGGTTGGAAGTGTCCTGGCCGCTGGCCGCTGCGGCCCCTTCCATCAGGCTAAGAGCCTCCTTCCTCGAGTCCTGAAGAATCGTAAGGCCGCGGGCGCCCTCGGTCTGCAGGACAAGCAAGACGTCCCCGGCAGCTCCCTCGAGCGCAAGGCTGCGGGCAACCCTCCGTGGAGATGACAGGACGGGCGCCAGAAGACCATGCGATCCACATTGGGGTACGGCTTGTGGTCTCCGACACGAGGGCGAGGACCTCCCACACTTGCTTTGACAACCGGAGGCCGACATCGGCCCCGGAGGGCGCGTGGAAGGCAGCATGGGCGCATCCGCGGGCCCAGGGCCACCATGCTGGGGAAGGCGAAAGTCGGCCCCAGGCGTCACCACAGTGAACTCTTCATCACCGGGAGGAGCGGGCGCATCTTCTGGAGCACACGGGATGCACAACTGCTTACTCGACCCTGGCGCTCGGGGACAAGTTTGAAGGGGCCCTGGGACACACGAATAAATAGACAAAAAATGACCAGATTCCCCATAGCTTCTTGGTTTTTGTCTTCCCCCCCCACTTCCCATATTTTCCCATATTTTCCTGGGAATCGACGATGAATTGCCTCTGTGCTTTTTCCCCTCCTGAAGGCTCCCCGGCAGCATCGCACGGAGAGCTGAGGCCAAGCCTGCTGAGAAGAGGGCGAGGCAAACCAGCGCCGAGGCGGGGCCCGCGGCCTCGATGAAGACCGTCTCGTTGAGGCGAGGGGCGGCCTTCTTGTCGCAAGTCGGGTCGGGCGAAAGGGGGGGATAGCAAAGGTCGGGGATGGACAGACCCCCCTTTAGTAAAACGTGGTTTAGTGAAAACGACCTGAGGCCCAAACCTGGTGGGCGCAAGCCTGGAAAATAACGGCCACGGCGCCCTCTCGAGAACCGAAAACGGACAATTCACTAATCGACGTGTCACTGTTGGGGGTTCTGTCCACCCCTGAAAAGGGATGGGTTGAGAATCAGCTCACGTAGCTGATGTTCCCGGCGCCTCCCGGCGCTGGGAGGCGCCCAATGTATGGAGGAATGGGCCCAGCGGCGGGGCCGAAACCAGCTGCATGCAGCAAATTTCGCATCCCCCCCTTTCCCAATCCCCCCCTTTCGTCCGGCCCGAGTAAGGAAAAGGACACGTACGAGAGAAAATGGTGCTTATGCCCTGGACGTCGTGCGACACGAGGATCGCCTTCATCTCCTGTGCAGGCTCACCCGACGTAGGGGCAAACCCTCCGACTTTCATAGTTGAGTACTTGTCCATCTGGTCGTGCTGGTCGTTTTCGAGCGTGTCCCTCGAAAAAGCTAAGGCTTCCACGCTCGAATCAGTGATTGTCTCGGGGGAAGTTTCGTGCCGACGAAAGAGCCACGCGGCCACGGATGGTTGGAGACCAAGTGCGCCACCATCTGGAACAAACCACCCACGCCACAGTCCGCGGGCTCCGTCAGGCCCGTCAGAAAGTCAGAGAAGTCTGGGGTGTGCGAGAAGTCCAAGCCTTCCATTTGGTGATCGGCATTGGTGTGCTCGCCGTGCGAGTCGATCACCGAGGTCACGTTCTGAAAAATTACGTCGTGGCGAGGGGCAAGTTGATCAAGCAGGGTGTCCGCAGTGTGTGCGCAACCAACTGGAACCACATGCCACCCCGCTGGATAGAAAGGTGGAGCATGGACGTTCACAGGATTGAACGTCTGGTAGGCCTTGGCATAGTTGGTAGGGCCGCAAGGGCCGCGCGCTTACATGTCCAGCTTGGTGCGGGGAAACAGATACACACAATTCCTTGTAGGTCTCAAGATTTTCGGCGCACGCCAGCCAAGTCTCAGTGGAGATCTCGAAGCGCGCGCATGGCCATCGCAGCTGTCGCGGCAGAAGTACAGAAAAAGGAGGCAGAGATACGCACTGAGCGCCTCACCGCGACGCTAAAGAGGATCTTGAGTCAAGATGTCAAAACGGTTACGACGACAACGACGACGACGACCACGACAATCACGACGACGACGCCGACGACGACGACGCCGACGACGGCGACGACGATCACGACGACGACCACGACGACGACGACGACCACGACGACGACACGCACGACACAGAAGACGACGACGACGACGACGTTGGCGACGGCGGCGACGAGAACGACGACGAGAACGATGACGATGAGTCCACCTTGGCTGGTGGGCTCTGCCGGGCCCACGCGTCCCAAGAGGCGTCCGCCGGCCCGTTCGTCAGGGTGTCCAGCACGAGCACGGGCCCCGTGGCGTCGCGGTACAGCGTGTGCAGGGTGTGGACGCGGCGGTCGGGCACCCCGGAGACCTCGGGGCGACAGGCCCGCCGAGGAGAGAGGAAGAGGAGGAGGAGGAGGAGGAGGAGGAGGAGGAGGAGGAGGAGGAGGAGGAGGAGGAGGAGGAAGGAGGGGGAAGAGGAGAGGGAAGAGGAGGAGGAGGAGGAGGAGGAGGAGGGGGGGAGGAGGAGGGAGGGGAGGGGAGGAGGAGGAGGAAGAGGAGGAAGAGGAGGAGGAGGAGAGGAGGAGGAGGTTGGGGAGGAGAGGGGGGCAGGGGGAGGGGAGGAGGAAGAGAAAAAAGAAGGAGGAGGAGGAGAGGAGGAGGAGCAAGAAGAGGAAGAGGAGGAGGAGGAGGAGGAGGAGGAGGAGGAGGAGGAGGAGGAGGAGGAGGGGGAGGAAGGGGGGGAGAGGAGAGAGGGAGGAGGAGGGGAGTGACGGAAGAGGAATCTGAAACTGGTGGGGTCGTGACCTGTTGGGTTACGTGCGCCTCAATCCCAAATGAAGATATGTATCTGGCCAGTCGTTCACGTGTCGGCGGAACCACCGAAACTGCAGGAAGGTGGGTGCAAGACCATTTGACCTTTCGTGCGTGGGTGCGGGAGGTGGGAGGTGGGAGGTGGGAGGTGGGTGCGGGAGGGGAGGTGGGAGGTGGGAGGTGGAAAGTGGGCGCGTGGGTGCGATTGCTCCATACGCATATTAATCATGAGAAACTCTGTGGAGGCCCCAGGCCCCAGGATCTGGCGTATCACGCTCGCGAGATATTTGCACGGCGTGCACCACCACTCGGGTCAAAACACAGTGGCGGCCGATGCGGCTGCCTCAAGCAAGCGATGCGGTGGCAGGTTTGAAGTGAAGCCGTTGTTTTTCCCAATGCGAGCCGCGCCAAAGGGCGCCAGGATCTGACCGGCTTGCTTCACAGACTTGCGCTGGACACCCGCAAAAGAACGTGTATGTGTGCATGTCCAACAAAACATGCACGGCTTCATCGGCAACAACCAGCACAAGCCGATCTCGGAACGGCATGCGATCAACCTCGACAGACTGAAACACACACTCGATGCCGCAAACGGAACTGATACACTCAACCCGTATAGTAAGCATGCGGGATAAGGATGCAAGGGCCTTGGAGGCCCATTTCGAAGTTTTTCGAGCGGACGCGGCCAACGAAAGTGGCCAACGATGGACCGAGGAGGCAAGGATGCAAGGGTACCCTTGGAAAAATTGCCCATCCTTACAAGGCGGGTTAATTGTATGCTGCCCTCGGCGACATCATTATGCGGATGCGCAGCGGGCAAGTTCAACCCGGACCCTGACCATGATTACACACACAGGTACGGGTGGCGCCGTGGTGCGAGAAAGCAGCAAGTGTGGGAGAGCTTGACTCGTGAACGGAAGGCATACGAGGAGCTGGTGTTGGAGATGCGGCGAGCCAATGTCTGGTGAGCGTCAGTCTCGGCTACACGCAAGAGTGACCCTGGGAAAGAATGACCTTTGGTGCGCGGCTGTTTGGGGTCCGCGGGGTGGGGGGGGGGCCAAACACGAGCAGAAAGACGCTATTACCGCATCGCGTTCGGCGATCGGGGAACCCCATTGTGCCCGCACCAAAGGTCACTCCGGCGAAAGGTCATTCTTGCGTAAGGTAGTCGACAGTTGCAACGTGTGATGCGGCACCCGGTGTCCTGGCAGACTTCTGTGCCGAAGCAGTCCGCACTCTGCTCGCAAAGAGTCTCAGTCGCAAGAAAGGGTTCCTGGAAAACCTCCCCGTGTTCGAAAGCATGTGGCACGCCTTATCCCGCATGCGATCGAAAGGTGCACATGCTGTACTGTATAGTGTCTCAACTACTCGTTGGTCCTCCCGTGTGACCGTTGCTAGACCCACGGATTCCCGTGAGAGGTACTGGAGTGTTCGCGGCATGTGAGAGTCAAAAGATCAGCCCTGTGCCTCAGCCCTCGTAGGAACACGCGCAACTATCTTCGACCCGATTCTCGCGGAGGAGGAGGTGGAGGAGGAGGAGGTGGAGGAGGAGGAGGAGGAGGAGGAGGAGGAGGCCCAGGAGCAGGATAAGAGCGAGAGCAGGAGGCGGAGGAAGGCGAGGGGCGGATGAGGGAAGGGGAGGAGAGAGGAGCTCAAGGAGGGAGAAAAAGTGGCCAATTGGGGAAAGAGCAGGGGAGAAGCAGAGGGGCAGAGGTGCGGAGGGAGAGGGAGAGGAGAAGGAGGGGGAGGGAGGGAGGGAGGAAGGGAAGGAAGGGAAGGGAAGGGAAGGGAAGGGAAGGAAGAGGAAGAGGAAGGGAAGGGAAGGAATGGGAGGGGAGGGGAAGGGAAGGGAGGAAGGAAGGGAAGGGAAGGGAAGGGAAGGAGGAGGAAGGAGGAGGGAGGAGGAGGGGAGGAGAGAGGAGGGCGGGGGAGAGGAGAAGGAGGAGGAGCAGGAGGAGGAGGAGAGGAGAGGAGGAGCAGGAGGAGGAGAGGAGGAGGAGGAGGAGGAGGAGGAGGAGGAGGAGGAGGAGGAGGAGGAGGAGAGGAGGAGGAGGAGGAGGGGGGAAAGAGGGGAATGTGGGAGGAGGGAGGAGGGAGGATGAGGGAACTGCGTGAGGCTGGGCACCGGACAGACGGGGGAAGAAGCGAGGGAGGGCGGATGCTCCAGCATGCAGGGGTCCTCCCTCCCCCCCCCGAGAGACAGGCGCGGGCCCACGGGTGCCTGCGACCGCCGAGGCCGTGGGCGGAGCTAGCCGGACGGGGCCACGACCTGGCGGAGGGGCGGGCCGAGACGTGCGCGGGCCCGCGGGCGTTTTGGGCCCCCCTGGAGGCCGCAGGCGGCGCTCCCGGAGAGCTCCCAGGAGCCTCCGGGGGGGGGGTCTCTCGGGGGCCTCTCGGGGCCTCTCGGGGCCTCTCGGGAGCCTCCTGCTGGGGGTCTCTCGGGGGCCTCGTGGGGCCTCTTGGGGGCCTCTCGGGGCCTCCTGGGGACCTCTCGGGGCCTCCCGGGAGCCTCTGGGGCCGAAAGCTCGGGACTTGAA